TATATGCCTAGGTACAATGCTAGTAATATCTCATTACTTATTCAGATTTATGCAAACATCACACACTATGGAATGTCATAGACATCTATGTGACATTCCACTCACTATATGCCTAGGTACTATGCTAGTAATATCTCATTACCCATTCAGATTTATGCAAACATCACACACTATGGGGTGTCATAGACATCTATGTGACATTCCACTCACTATATGCCTAGGTACAATGCTAGTAATATCTCATTACCTATTCAGATTTATGCAAACATCACACACTATGGAATGTCAGACATCTATGTGACATTCCACTCACTATATGCCTAGGTACTATGCCAGTAATATCTCATTACCTATTCAGATTCATGCAAACATCACACACTATGGGATGTCATAGACATCTATGTGACATTCCACTCACTGCAAAAAAAAGTATAAAATGATACCAATGTATGACATTCTCAAATTTTGAATGAACACTGAATAAGAACATAACAAACTAAGAACACACACAAATCAATTTAAATTACATTTTATTGCCTTCAACAAGAACAACAAAACAATTTCTATCTTTCAAATACACACTTTTGTTTTACACTATACACAAAGCGATATAAGGTTCTCTGAGTTTAACACAGTAAAAGAATTAAAATCTTTTATAAAGATTATAGAGTTTATTATAACTGTCCTGACAAAAAAAGGGTGATAAATATTTCAACTATTTTCACAAAATAACAATAGTAAGCAGGTCAGAAAATTGGGCCATAGGCTCTAAAATATTGTTTGTTGCAAACAACTGATAGAGGGCGCCAGTCACCATGCAGCATATTATTGTTCATATAAGAAAAATATCAAACACAAGAGCCAATATTGTGCGTACATGGTATGCGACAACCGACAATTTTTATTTTTATTTAAGACTTCGTTAATTCAATGATGAGACAGAATTTGCTGGAATGATATATTAATATCCGAGCAATTAATTTATACATGTATCACGGGATCACAAAATACTGGATTTGACTTTTCATTTTCATTTATAGCAAATGTGCTCCATAACTTTGAAATGATATGGTGATGGGTGATTATGGACATAAATATTTGAAAAAAAACAAAAATCTCAAATGAATTGAAATCAAATAATCTATTTTAGTACTCTTCTTGTGAGTGGACTGAGGACTCACAAACTATGGTTTGACTGAATTTAACTTTCCCCTCCAATGACAATTGCATAAATAAAGATCCTGATATTGTCATTCTCCTGCGGTAACTGATATAATAAAGGTGACTGTCATGTAAATCTGAACATCCTTCTTGTCATTGTAGCGCCAATTCCGAACGATATCAACATGGGTTAAAACAGCTAAAGTGTAACAAAATGGCTCAAAAGAGGGGCAGCTACAACTATGTAGCAAAATTACAAATACATTAACCTTTCTGTGATGAAAACAGAATACACAACAATTTTGCAATTTCCTAAAAATAAAACATTCATCATAAAAATATTTCTCAATTTCTAATAGATAAAGATTTAAAAAAAAATTAAAATACATGAAATATTATTTGACAAAATATATATATAGATATATAATGCATTGTATGTAGCACCTGCCAGGGTCACAGAAGCATAGGAGATATCCCACAATGCACTGCAATTATTCATATTTAACTTATGAAGACATTTCTGGAATTAATAGCAATGCATCATGGGAAACCAATACAAGTCAACTAAAACCATCGCAATGCAGATACATTTCAAAAATAATTTTATAATAATAAAAAATATTATTATATCAATTCATTACTATTGTGGTATAGCACAAATTGAACAGTGTAATATTAGGAGGGAGTTCGGATCAGACACAAACAAAAATACACAGTGATTATGCGATAAATCATTAATATATTTAAATAAAGATTAACCTTTTCATCACCAGTTCTCTCTTTTCATCATAAATTCACAAAATACTGTAAAATCTGTATTAGAAACCGCAGCTTCTACTAAATTGGTACTATGCAACAGAGGGGGTGCGGCTTCTATTAGAGCATCTACACATAAGAGAAATGATGAATTTTTGGTTCTCATTTATTCAAAAAGAATGGCTGCGACTTCTATTAGGGATGTGGCTTCTAATACAGATTTTACGGTAGTATCGTTTATAGTCTACACTTTCCTTCAGAAGTTTGGAACAAAAATAGCTAATTTTTGAAGTAAAAATTGAGAATTGACTCAAATTCTGTCTGTTGGCTACAAAAATTTCAAGAAATATTGAAGAATACTGTAGAATACTTTATTTTCGCTTGGAATTTATTTTCGCCATTTTCGCTAGAAGGGATGATTCCATGAAAATAAAATCCAGCAAATATACTTTTTTTCCTATATTTCACATTAAACTCATCAAAGATCAGTGAAAATAAATTCCATACAAAACAGCCAAAAAAGCCTTTTCAGCGAAAATTAATTCCAGCGAAAATAAAGTATTCCACAGTATAAGCAATGGATGCTAAAAAATTTGGGCAAGAAAGTCTGGTGGTAAAAAGGTTAAAACACACATTTACCAACAACTGCTTTGGACTACGCCTATTTGACCCGAATTAAATTGCTACAAGAATGTAGAAGTGATGTAATTGGACTTTTATATAAATCTAATTTGGTGACAGTAAATAAGAGAACCACTTAGCTTCATTCAAATACATTGTCTATTTATACTAAAATTCAAATTATTAAAAAAAAAAAAACTATGGTACAACACTTATAAAATACGACATTAAAGATTTTGTTTTGTATATCACTTCCATGAATAAAGATTACTAATAAAATTTGTTTTCAATTGAAATCGTAAATTGGCTTGACAAATAGCCAAGAAAATGATTTGCCATAAATCACATGCAAATAAGAATTCATAGGAAAAGTGTATCTTCACTCAAAATCACTTCAGAAAAAATAAATTCCAAGTAAGAATAAAGACTTCTACATTATAGATTAAAATAAGACCCAGAAAAAAAGAAAGAAAACAGTTTTTGGTTGACTAGTTTCACAGAATTGATTTTTTATTTTAAAATGGTGCTTAGATTTTTAATGAAAAATTTTTCTTTCATTTTTTTTCTTCAAAAATTCTGTCAAAAAAGCACATAAAAAATGATGCATCCGGTAACTAAAAACATTTTTTCTGGGCTAATTTATTAATAAGACTTGTGCAAATGTCATACAATTCTGGAGATCCATGGCTTTCCAAATTCTAGTAGAACAAGGCACTTAACCCTTAATTGCACATCAAAAATTATGTCTAATTTAATTATTCATAGATTGCAAAAAAAACAAAAACAATTTAGATCAAATTATACTAAAAAAAGGATAAATTGTACGCCATAGAATTAGCAGTATACAGTAAATAATGGAGTGACCTTATAGGCCATGGAATATGAATAAGTTACAATCAATATGCATGTACCGGGTAATCTGAATAGAAATTTACTTGCATATTAAACATTGTACCTAATGCAATATAGATAAAAATAAAGATTGTTTTAATTTCATTACCAAGCAACACATGCAGATATTTAGGATATTCCACCCTAAAATCATTAGGCTAAAAAAAAAAGATTTATTCTGGTCGTGTCTGGAGATGTTCAGCAAAACATGCCTTGGTGCTTTTTTGACAAGAACTGCCAAACAGTTGTGAGCAGCTCCCTTTTGAATGATGACCCAAATAAATTTTTGCCTTATTGCATCAAAATGAATAAAACATTTTAAAATAGTAGAGGAGTATATAGTCACACAGAATGAGAATTTAAATTTGAGAACTGTACAATATAAAGTACTTCGACATATAATCGACAAATAATTGACAACAAATAATTATACAAATTTAATACATATGCAAGAATAAAACGGATGGCAGCAGAAAATTCACATAAATATTATGATCTTCAAAAACCTACAACTTTGGCAGTTCATAATTTTTTTTATATATTATTTCATTTTCCAAAATTCTGGAAGTTTTACAGCAAAATAATCTATCTGATATATGAATAAGTCTCACTTTCATAAATCTATGCAAATGAGTACATCACATGACCATCTTTGTCCAATCAGACAATAGAGATTCATGGATGAGTGAATAGGAAGGGAAACAATTATTTATGAATGAAATAGTGTCATATTGCATCTGATTACTAATGAACTGTTTAATTTTTGTGACAAATATGTTTGCAATTTTGTGCTTCATTAAAAAAGGCCAGGAGAGAAAACAGTAACATTTCATGTCTGGAAGTAGATAATCTGCACAAAAATATTTTTTTTTTTTTTATAAAAATTATCGTTCATTCCAAAACAGAATATTTTCTACAGGTAATCATAATTGTAAAATTGAGAACATAACCAAACAAATAAGGACATTAGCATTACTTTATCATCCTAGCACACAGGATTTTATAATTTAAATAAAACTATTTTAATGGCATTTTTTTTAATTTTAATTAGACACCAGTAAGATAATGTGACTAACCTCAAAAGATTAGAAAAGGGTAATGTTTTACACTATCCAGCGAGAAAATTTATGGAAAATTGTAGCAGGAAAGAAAGAAATGTCAAAATTTACAGGACTTGGTCTGGTGACTGAGTCAGGTGGCATAGTCAGGTGGCATGGTCAGGTGACTGGGTCAGGTGACTGGTGAGATATTTCATTTATTTACAGCAAATACAAGATATTCACAAGGTTTAGTTGTGGACTTGCAATAGTATGGGTAGTATAGAAAGTGTACAAGCAAACTAGATAGGGTTCATGGCTTTAAAAAACTAATCACACATGTTTTAATGGGTATTTATCTCAAATAAATTACCTGTACAAAATTGGAGGCATCAGCTTATTGGTTTGGAAGCACACTGCTCTAGATTGGGTTATGAAGTGTACTTTCTATACATATAAATAAACAATATATTGGAATAATAGATTGATCTACTCTTTTTAAAATCGTGTCTTAATTTGACTTTTTGGTGGGTCTTTTTTTTTCACTAGAAAAATGAAAGTAAGAAATCTTTGAACACCATAATTTGTTTGCCAACAGTTTTCACGTTTTTAAATATAATTTTGTGAACCCAATAGACAAAATTGTCTATTAACTATATGTCTTTTTCATTATTTTTGATTGAAATAAAGAAAATATTATGCAGGTTGTGACAACAATTTATTTTGGAGTTCAAAAGTTCGAAAAAAATTGAAGTGACACTGCAAAGTTGTGGGAATTCTTTCCCTAAATCTGCAGTAGACATTCAAAAATAATGCGGATATTTAGTTGTAGACATTTCCAACCATACCCCCAAGTCTGACTGAAATGACCAATATTGCTCCCTTTAGGACAGAAGTGTTCACTCTTGTCTAGTCTTCCTAGTTTCCTCACCAAACACAGATTTATTTTGCTTGGAATCCTCTTCAGAGTAAAACTTGGTAACAATCAAAATTAAAAATTAAAAAAACTTGATCCACTATGTTCTGTGTATCCTACCAAAAGTAAAACAAGAATTAAGAATTTAAAAGGCAAGTACGTACAGGTATGATTCGACTTTTATCAACAGGTGATTGAAAAGGAACTTGTATTTAGTTCATAACACTATTTTAGTCTGGTTCAAGATGTTTAATTTATAATTTACTTTATAAACCTAACAGTTCCTGCATGTTATGTAGATTTTATTGTACGAGTTCCCTGCTCAGACTATTGACATCCCAGAATGCCAAGCTTCTTGTTATGACTAATGAATTAACTTTTACAGGGATCAGTTTGATCAAAATAATGGAGGATCATGAATAATTGATTCTATTATACACAAATACTTGAGAACCCAACAACAACTGACACAAAAACTAATAATGTATTTAATACAAACCTTTCTCCTGACAAATCTATTATTAGTACTGTATTAAAATAACCTTTTTTGAACATCATAATTTTTCCAACCAAATTTTTGGTACAACACTGAATATTTTTATGAATTTTATTGTAATTAATTTTTAATTTTGAACATTATTTCTGATCAGGTCTTGATAAAACATGGAAAAAATGAGGTTTATTCTGTGAAGAACTACTTTAAAGTTAACAAAAGATTAGATCTCCTTTACCTTTCACTTAAGTTTTTTGTTGACTGTTTTGTCGTAAACTTTGTGTTTGTTTACAGATATCACCAGTACTATTACGTCTTTTGTGTGATCCAGTCGGGCCAGGGTCCGTGGTGGACGGAGTGGTTATCGTCACTTTAGAAAAACCTACAAAAACACAGTTTGAATACATGGAAGGGAGATACCATTATACATAGAGGGGTGTGTAGACTAAGTTCAGCAGAGGGATAGCATTATATGTGTGTGGGCTTAAGTTGCCCAACAGTTTACCAGCTAACAAAACATTGCTGATTGTATAATTTTATGAACTGCCACTAGAGGGCGCAAGTCACCTACCATCGGAAGATGTGGTCCTGACTATATGCGTTATGGACCGCTTCCTGGCTTTCCGTTTCTGACTTCCTGTTAACTGTGGCATCATTCTCTCTCGGTCACCGCTATCACCGTCATCATTAGCAAAGTGGTGTAAATCTAGTCAGGCATTAAACAAAGAAGATATTACCAAAGTTAGGGGCTCTTGATTATTAAATCTGACACAAAAGTAACGTGAGTCAATCATAACTGATGCATAAATGCAGGCACCACTGCAAATTATTAATTTGGAACCAGTCAGATGTCATTTTTATTTCCATAATATTTATGATGGAAGAATACATCATGTACCGTAGTTGTCCGAGTATAAACCCCTGCTCGAGTATAACCCCCCCCCCCCCAATTTACAGCATTTTACAACAAGTCATTAATCCAATTATAAACCCCACCTCCGGTCTGGCAAAATTATTTGGTATGTGAATAACGGTAGTTCTCTTTCTGAAGGATGTGGTCGCCATGAAAAAGGACGTTTCGATTTGCATTTGCACAGTATGCGCAAATGTTAATGTACTTTGAAATGCGTTTCATGTAGTGCCGGATTCTGACTAAATTCGCCCTGGGCCCTTGAATGGCAGTTTAGGGCGATTTTTCGGCAGTTTTTAAAGTTGTTTTTTAAATATTTTGGCGTCATTTTCTGGTCATTTCAATTTTTCTAGATGCCTAAAGTTTATTTAAATTTTTATTCAAGAGGGTGTTCATTGTGACTAGCATGAATGGGTAAGCTTCGTTTGGACAAAGAGTTGTTATCACTGTAAACAATGTTAAATTATTCTTCTAATGCTCAGTTCATCTTTTGAAAACAACTATTTTTAGATTTGAAAAAAAATCATACCATTTTCCCATCTAATTCCAAGCCAAAAGATCGTACTACAACATTTGCAAATGTTTTTCGCATTGTGTTCAATAACATTGACATATTTAAATGAGCTATGGAAATTTGAACACGTTGGCATCATACAGCATTTTGATTGGTTAATTAGCGATTCGACCTATTACCAGGTCAACTCGAGCAAGATAAAGAACATGGCGCATACCCGACAGCATCAAGCGTTTATATGCGACTGGAATCATTTGCTTACGATGAAACTTAGTTGAATTTTATTTGTATTTTATAACAATTTAACGAATTTATTTTTTTGTACGTTATTATAATCACTACTGAGTAATAATCAACAATTGTAAAACGCAGCATGACCGGATTGCGCAACCGTGATCATTTGCTGCTACGCACTCTAGTATCGAACACACTACGATTTGTTCATGAATAAATTAGCATAAACAAGTCATTGTCAA